GAAGGCCGCGCTGGTGCCGACGGCCACGAGGTTCCCGGCGAAGGCGGTGTAGTTGATCAGGACCCGGATGTCGGCCGTGATGAAGGGGACGAGGGAGATGAGCACCTGGGACGAGGAGCGAGAGAGAGGAGGTCAATCGAAGAATAGATGGAAGGTGGTGAATGAAAATGTGTGTAGGAAACATTACTGTTAGTCGAAATGTAAATTACAAAGCTATGTTAAAAGTAGGTAGGAAATCCAATGGGTAAGTGCAGTAAATGGATCATCATCGTCATCACTGGGGAGCTAACGCCGACGAGGACGTATAGCCGCATTCACCCTTCGTTTCCACCTACGAGGGTCCCTCATGGCAAGTCAGGCAGGGAGTCGGCCCATCTCTAGTTCTTAACGACAGGTCTGATCGATCTGCCCAAACCGCGACTTCCCAGGTCGTCTCACAGGTCTCCTCCACCCAGAGTTATCTCGAACAGAGACAACCTGGTGGGCAGGATCATCCTGTGGGAAACGAGCCAGGTGGCCTGAGTTGGCGATCGAGGATTGTGCAGTAACAGGTCCCTAGACAGTCTCACGATGTAACCGTTTGGTAGGACACCATGTTGCTGTCGGGCCGGTCCGGCAAAGGAATCTCGACAATACCCGCATCCAAGTTAATTGGTGGTGGATCAACCAGCTAAAATTGCTAAAAACACTCAGCCTAATGCTCCGGCACCCCACCAGGATCTGAGATGATTTAACCACTTGCTAAGTGGACTGCAGTCGCCTGTGACGAGGGCTTGGAGTTTAGCTTTCTCAGGGCTTCGTAGGCAGGACGAAGGTCATTTACTAGAAAATGGCTTTCAACGTCCTCTACAAGATTCCTGATACACTGTTCCTTCTCCCTTCTTAGCAGTAACCTAGTCCTGCGCACCAGAGAATGATGCAAGTCGCGATTCCCTGACAGTTGAGCCGTGTGACAAGCACACGTTGCTTCCAGTGTCTTTTGTGAGATGAAATTCTGTCTTGCTCTTGGGCATTCACCAATCGATTCTCTGGCTGCATCGAGTGTTTCACGCTTGAAGGTATTCCAAAGAAGAACAGGGTCCATTAGGGCCCTATGTGCTGCAAAACGACCAGAGATAGCCTCAGTAAACCCCCGGGCACACTCCCCCTCCTTCAACCTGCCCACATGAAACACTCTAGGGTGTTCATTGGAACGACGGGGGTTTCTGAAGTGGGCCCAGAGAGTAGCCACAACTAATCTATGATCAGTTCCACAGAACTTGGTGCTCCAATATCCCCTGCAATTCTGGAGGATCTTCCAGCGAGGGCTTACAAGGATCTGGTTGACCTCCTTGGCCACATTATCTGCATCGCTGTACCAAGTCCAAAGATGATGGTCAGAATGCTGATACCAAGAGTCAGAGATCCTCAATTTCTAGGACCTAGCAAAGTCCTCATAAAGAAGGCTATTCTCGCTGCCAGCATCAGTTCCCGAGCCATGAGGACTGACAGATATCTCATAGCCAGCTCGATCGCAGTGAGGTACCACATTGAAGTCACCCAGAACAATGTGAATATCTCATTGAGTACAGCTGTCTGTCACAGATTCAAGTTTGTCGTAAAACATCTATTTCAAGTTTATATACATCTGTAGGAGCGTACACAGCAATAAGAGACATGGAGCCAAATGAAAGCTTCAGTCTCAGTACCCTAATACACTCATCGACTGGAGTGCCTCCAGGGTTGAACTCTGCTGGAGATGGCTATGGCTACTCCCTGGTGATGGTGGCCATCGCTGTGGCCTGAACAGTAATAGGTGTAGCCACCCACACTAATCGTGCCGCTGCCAGGTCTTCTCACCTCCGAGAGAGCCGCCACCTCAACTCTCAGCTGCTTCAGCTCCCTCGACAGTAGAGGCAATCGATCGTCCTATCGCAAAGAGCGGGCGTTCAGAGCCCACACCCTAATCGCCACCTCTGCTAGCCCAACCGCCGTTGCCCCATATATCGACGTCTGGCTTGATGCAGGTCCCATAATCCACCTGCGGGGATCCCGTGGGCTTTGCCCCACAAAGGGGACGCAGAAGGGACGGGTAACCCCCGTTCTCAGGCCGACTCCCAGCGGTCGCCAACCCAATAGGACCCAGGGTGGCAGCTGCAAGCGAGAAATTATGCAAAGCACTTAATACTATCTAGGCTACCACAACATCGCTTCACATCACCATAAATGGATGGTTAGATGAAATGCAATAAATTAATGGATATTTCAGATGCAAGAAACATTCATGAAGTGCGATCAACCGATGGAATTAATTGAATGCATGGCCAGAGGACCGTGAATAACAATGTACATTTGGAAAATATTATAAATACAGATATTAGCAAATAGCAAACAAGTGCACTAAGCAGGCCATGAGAAGCCCGTAAGTGATTTCCAAACTTTAATCAATAAATGACTACACAACATGAGCATAAGTATAAGAGCATTATCGAGAATATTGTGTTTGTCCATAAATAAATTC